AGCTCATTATGCTTGTTCTAGAAAAGTGAAGATAGAGCTCATATGCTTATCTTTGTGAAGTGTAGATATACTCCTATGCTTATCTGTGAATGGGATATTGTTTGTTATACACTATCTGTTGAGAATGTGGATATAACTTATAGCTTATCTGTGAATGTGGATATAGTTTTTATACATGATCTGTTGAGATGAATGATAGAGCTAATTGTCTATCTGTTGGAACACAGCGAAAATGAAAGGTAACTTGGACTCATAAGTCGCTATGACATAATATGATTTATGTGAATGTATCAGCGTGTGGCCATCTATCAATTGCAATCTTTTAGTCATTGTTCATAGCTGGTTTAGTGTATTTCTGCTGGGCTGTGGCTCACCCCTTTATGGGACATTATTTTCAGGTACAGGTAGCATGCCACCTCCAAGGACATAGCTTGGGAGGCTAGAGGCGGACATACTTTTGTCGTTATCTTTTTGATGTATTACATGTAATTTCAAGCCAAGGGCTTTATGTGTAAACGAGTTAGAACTCTTTTGATGTAACAAAGTGTTAACTTGGAAAGCTGTAAGCCTGTAAGGCATTTTGCTTTTGTTGTTAACATGTAATACTTTTGTATGAAACTCTGATGTATAAAAGAATGTGGTTATCTCATATGTCAATAAATGTCTTATTTGATGGGTTTAATGTTATTATTTTGAGGGCGTTACAAATTTGATTCGATTGATTTGAACGGATCGATATATCCACTACTTACCTTAGCTGGCACCTGTTTTGACTTAGGCCAAGTTTGGCATACTTCAAATAATCTATTTTTTTATCTTTTTATCTTTTTTTTATCACATCATCTCTTTACTTTTTTGCACATCTTTTCATAAAAAAATAAAAAATATACTTATTTAAATCATCCCAAACAACCCCTTAGTCAACACATACCTCATTTGTAAAAGCCGTTGAAACATTTGAAATGAAGCCCTCAGATTGCTACTGGTAGTGGATATGGTGACCATTAGATCAAAGTCATGTGTCCTTTTGTTGAACTGTTTGAACCTTACCAACATTGATATATATATCTGCCAAAGAGACGGAGACACGTGATCTTGTTCCTAAGCCCTTGGGATTTGGTCAAATTAGAATCCCATAATTGCAACCTTCTTTCCAAAGCAAAATTACACATTTTTTTGTTACATGCACACGTGGCACCCAATCATTGGGCTTTCAATTTAGTACAAACAGTATTAGAAGATTAATAATAGGAAAATGCTAGAGGTCTCAAATTTTCTACCAAACAAATGACCAAATGTCTCACATGGGTGTGGGGCCCACAAAATTGTGGACCCCACACCCATGTGAGACATTTGGTCATTTGTTTGGTAGAAAATTTGGTGTCCCTAGCATTACCCTTAATAATAATACATGTTTTGTAATAAAAATTGGGCTGTCAATTATTTCTTATTTCTTAATCAAATTAATTTTTAATTTAAAAAAAAATTCTAAAAATCAAACTATACATAGTTTAAGAATATTTTAATAAATCATTTCTTACGTTAGTAACTTTTGTTAACTTTTGTCAAACTATACATAGTAACTTTCTTACGTTATTTGTTAATTTTACGATATTTTTACCATCAAACCTGTTTGGTAACCATTTCGTTTTCAGTTTTTAATTTATATTTATAAAAATTTTAAAAACTGCCATAAAAACTTATTTGATAATTTTTGTAACGCCCTCAAAACAATAGATAAAACCCATCTCATTAGACATGCATTGATATAAAATAAACTAACCATTTCTATTTATCAGAGTAATTCTTACAACTGTATTACATGTTAACAACAAAAGCAAATGCCCTAAGGGCTTACAGCTTTCCAAGTTAACACTTGGTTACAAAAAGAAGAGTACTAACTCAATACATATTAAGCCCTTGGCTTGAATTTACATGTAATACATCAAAATAAACAAAAAGAGTCTTCAACTCTCATCATCATCCAAGCTATGTCCTTGGAGGTGGCATACTACCTGTACCTGAAAATAATGTCCCATAAAGGGTGAGCCAACGCCCAGTAGAGATATGCTAAACACAGTATGAGCAATAACTAAGACATTAACAATTGATAAATGTTTAGTTTCCATAAACCAATTCATAACTCAGTTTCATTTCATTTCAGTTTCCATTTCTTATCAATTTCACAATTTACATCAACGGCTCAGAATCTGGCCAATCCTTTATATGAGACAATGACTCATATTAAACATTTCCCATTTTTCAATAGATAAACATATTAGTTGTATCAACATCTCAACAGATAAGCATACAAGCTGTATCCACATTTCAACAGATATGCATATTAGCTATATCAACACTTCCAATGACAAGCATATGAGCTGTATCAACACTTCCAGAAATAAGCATATGAGCTGTATCAACACATTATCTGACAAGCATATGAGCTGTATCAGTGGAGTCCATCCCCTATCTCTTCCCTAACAACATTCGGTTTAGAGGTCCATCCCCTATCTTCCCCTAAACTGTGGAGTACATCCTCTATCTCCTCCCACACACACAATGCATATATACACAAAGGTCATATACACAATCAGTCAATACATAACGTTAATGTATTCTGTCAACCGTCATACTCTATGACATATTCAATTGATTAGTTTTAGTTTGCCTAATCATCATGCATTGTCTACAACAATCAAAACTACCCTCCACCGGTAGCCCAAGCAATTATTTCTAAACAGATAATAAAAGCTCCAACAGATATAATATCAATGTTTTCAAAAGCGAGCGATTTATAAATCCAACTCCATCATTTCATAACATAATGAGCCAATTTCATTATTTCCAACTCAATTCCATAAGTTCACAATTTTTCCAAATTAATTATACCAATTAATTTTAAACAACAAATTAGGGCTTTTACCCCTAACTCTCGATACTAACCCAAAGGTTCCAATATCACCAACCAACAACTATATCATCATTTTGAAACCCAAAATACACATTATGAGCCCAAAATCACAAAAAACCCTCTTCAACACATTTTGAAACCCTAAGTCCCAAAATCAACCAACTCAACATTTTATCAAAACAACTAAACATCTAGGTCAAAGGCCATAACAGTGAGTAGGAATCCCTACCTCAAAAGATGACACCCAACGAAGAAGATGGTGAAAACGAAATTGCTCCAAACCGCGAGTTTCTCCGATCAAAAGATAGCCCTTGACGATCAACCCAACTTTTGTGAAGACCAAAGGTGAGGAAAACACCCTAGCTAGATCAATATCTAGAGAGAAGGCAAGGTTTTAGAGAGAGAGGCTCTCAAATGGCTTTTTCAGAAAAATAAGAGAGAGAAAGGATGAGAAAAAGTGATTTAAAACTGCCTCACAGCCAACTGATATACGACATTACCGCTCGAGCGGAAAACACAACGCTCGAGCGTCAAGAACAAAAACTAGGTCCGCTCGAGCGCAATAAGACCCGCTCGAGCGCCAAGACACAAGAATAAAGCACATCCGCTCGAGCGCGAAAACCAGTCCGCTCGAGCGTAGATTTCTCCCTCCCAGAACTTACACCCAAAGGTACTACCCGCTCGAGCGCCCAAGTACCCGCTCGAGCGCAAAGAAACCCGCTCGAGCGTGAAAAACACACCTGCTGAAGTTTTGCAAGGACACAAAAAACTTGGAGTGTGCAATCTCCGCTCAAACGCACGAAGACCCGCTCGAGCGGACCTCCTAAAATCTGGGCAACAAAGAATTGAAACCAAAGCCTAACCAACCTGTAACAACTCTGTCCAATACATCCTAAAACTCAATCAAGTGGAATTAAAGGATGACAACAAGGTGTTCCACTACCAACATCACGGAACCGAGTCCGGAATACAACAGAACAGTAAAGGGACAACCGGGATCGCTATAATTTTTTTGGTTGATAAATGATTGTCTCAGTTTATAAATTTGAGAAAAAAACGTAAATTCAAAAAATGAGCTTATGTTTATTTTTAAACAGAAATTTAAAAACTTTACTACCAAAATTTTTTTTCAATTAATTTTTTTTTTGAAATAATTTTTTTTTCAATTAATTTTTTTTTCAACTAATACTAACCGAGGGGGCAATTGGTAATGCTACTTTCAACCTTAAGGAGGAGATTGTAATTTTTAAAATGTGAGAGGTGTCAATGTAATTTATCCAAGAAGGACAAAATTGGTATTTAAAAAAATTAAATTGCTAAAGGAAAAATCTGTAATGAAACTTGAAATCTCAAGGAAAGAGATATAATTTTCAAAAGGTGAGAAAAGAACTGTAATAAACATAAATTTCAAGAGATGTCAATGTAATTTACCCTAAAAATTAAGAAGAGATGCATATTTTAGAGTAGCTTTTTATGTTTTTTTTCTTCGCTTTATTCTCCAGTGGGTTTCACAGGTCTTTATAAAACTTTTTAAAATATCACTTAAATCATCATCTACATGTCAAATCAACAAAATAAAACAATAGCAAATGATTTATTTCGATTTCTCAATTAACAAAGTGGAAAATTTTGATTCCATACTAAATTTTTCTTCACCATTAATTTTTTTGATAAGCAAATCACATATTTAGATTAATCATATTCTGACCTCATTTGGCAAAAATAACCCAAGGGATTGTTTAATTTGCACATATGAGATATGTTTCGAGTTTTGTCACAATCAAGACCCTTCCTCCTCCCTCAAGATAAGTCTTGATACAAAAAGTAAAAAGTTGCCAAGCAAATACTTTCCAACGCAAGTGCCTAGGTATTGCGTTCTAGCTTTGTTTCTTGAATTTTAATCAATTAATTTCCTAGTCTATTGCACTTTCCTTGTGTTAATATCCTAGCCTTTTAACTTGTTTAATGTAGAAGTTTCAGCCGACTTGCCATGCCTCTTCGACAATAATAAGTTGCAATAACACTTCTGATCTTTACATTTAATCAACAAAACCATTCACATCAACAGTAATGTAACACAGATCAATCTAAAACCAGGGAGATGGGGGTAGCATATTATCATTAAAATACAAAAAATTAATGCCTCCCTAGATATACAAACTAATTGGGAAAATAAAAAAAGAAAGAGATCAGTTTCTACCCCAAGTAGTAGGCCACATCACCATTCAAATGGAATTAAATTCCAGTTCTGTTTTTTTTTTTTTTTTTTTTTTAAGAATTACAAATCATTGAAAAGAAATGAAATTAACTGCAAAAATACGGCGATGCAAGTGAGTCTATGTTTTGTTGTCCAGGTAAAAATTGTGGTCTTACTGACTCCAAAGCACAGAGAGTCCACACTTGCATCTGCATGTTTTAACAATCACTTTCAATTCTTCCAAATATTTACCACTCCCAGGAAAGGAAAAGAAAAGTAAAGAAAAGACGAAAAAAACCTAGTTCCAAATATTTACCACTCCCAGGAAAGGAAAAGAAAAGTAAAGAAAAGACGAAAAAAACCTAGTGGGAGGTTTAGTCCAAATGATTCCCTGCTGCACACCTCTGTAGAAGAATCACATCCTTCACCCACGCTGTTGTGGCAAAATATCATCCACAACATCATCCCTCTCTTTCAACTGTAAATATCTTCTATCATTATCTTCAAACCCTTAAAAACATGGGGCCTGAAAACAAAAGGGTTAGTGTGAGAGGCCAAAACAAGTGTGTGTTTTGGTGGAGAGTCACACTGGCCTTGCTGTTTATGCTGGTTGTGCCACTTCCTGTAGGGGCCAGTCCAAAAACTGTGGGAGTTGTGCTTGTAGGTGTGGTTGAGGATGTTGGAGATGTGCTTGTCGATGGGGTCGTGGTTGAGCTATTTCCTGCAGTGCTGCACAGATAATATATGACAACAATATCAGTGTCTCAACCCTAAACCAATAGAACTTTCAGTGTAATTCAAGCCCTCGTATCACCAAATTTTTTTAAGGTAAGTTTTGAGGTTCAAACTTGTAAAGAAGCGTTGAACAGTTGCTTGTGTGTACCTAACTTGTTAATCCACTAACATAAGACCACGCGAATAAAATTAAATAAATAAACAAAACAAAATAGCAATCATATTATTATTTTTTTAGCATAGATTACGCATTTCACCCCCCTCCCCCCAACTTTCATCTGAATTTCACTTTGGTTCTTCATCTTCTAATTGCAACAATTAAATCCTTGTATTTTAACCCAAGCGTTTAAAATTTGAGTAAAAGTTAAACATGAAGGACCTAAATGAAATTTGAGTGAAAGTTGGGAGGGTGAAAAGTGCATTTTTCCCATTATTTTATTCCTTTAATGCTCTTAAAATGTGCTTATGTGGCCATCATGTCAGCACTTTTCTATCAATTTTTTTGCTGACAAGTGACAGAAGGAAGGACTACATTGAAACAAGGGTTGAAGTTTGAGAACTCAAGTGTTGTAATTAGATAATGAGGGACTAAAGTGAAATTTGATTGAATTGGGGGACAAGACCCCAAAATAAAGAAAGGAATAAACCTAGGTGTAAGTGGGGATAATCAAACTCTTGACCTCTTATTAATGAAGTGCAAGAGCTCTAACGAAAGAGCTAACCCTGTTGGTTTAAACAACAATCATATTATGATGATGAAAGCAAATTGGAACCAGGCAATGCTTAGCCACCCAGAAAAATACCCCGAATTTGATAACAAACAAGATTTATTCTGATTTCGACACCACAAGTTCAAAATTATGCTATAGATTTCACATTGAGGGTGCTTTTCGGGATAACTTTTTTGGGTAACTTTTTGGGATAAGTATCATTTCTGAATGAGGACTAGACTAGGACCTAACTTGATGAAAATACAATAACATGAACAAATGCGAAGCTGACGTCTAGAATCAATACCTGGAGTTATTTACCAAACTTCAGTTTTTTTGAAAAGTATTTCTCAAATGCAAACTATTCTAAACTTATTTTTCACATCCACGTTGCTTTTCGAAATAAGTTTTCAAAGCACAACTTCAAAATATTTTATAAGTTTATTAAAGTCGTGTTTTGCTTTGTAAAACCATGTGTTTGGGAAATAATTCAAAAAATACTTGAGTTTGAGAAATATATTTTGAAAACACATGGGTCAGTTAAAAAACTTCAATATCTTGGGTATGGAGAAAAATGGACAAACCAACATATGAAATTTCAAATCATGACAGCTCACAGCTGAAGTGATGAAACAGGTCTGACTTGCAAGTTGCAATATAAAAAGATATATTAAAATGGATTTCTACATCTACTTTCCATAATCACTTCCTAAAAAACCTTGACCCCAACCTGAAAAATTAACCAAATAGATAAAAGTTCATATCTATTGATGATACTAATATTGTATTTACAAGGAAGGAATTGAGAGGTCACACTCACGCCAACCCAAAACCCTAACCAAACCTAACCAAAACATTGATGCTAAAGTAAAGAATCATCACCCAACACTAAACCTAAAACCAAAACAGTGGTGCTAAAGTAAAGAATCATTACCCCCGAAAAAATTTGAGTAGGAATTTGCAAAAAGATAAGGAAAAAGGAGAGGAAAAGTTGAAAAGTTAAGCTTATATTTCATTCATTTTTTCTCTTTTACTCCACAAATCCTCTTTCAAATTTTTGTTAATCAAAACACGTACTTAGTTCATAAAAAATCACATAGAAAAAGATGGAATCATATTCCTATCCCTTGAAACTATTTTATTAGTTTGTAGATTATATAATACAATTAAAAGGTAATGGGAGAAAATTGCAGTCACATTATGACTACCCTTTTCCTTCACAATCATCAAAAGGAGGGAAAAATTGGGAAGACAAAAAAAAGATGAAAAAAGAGATACCAAATAACTCCAAAGCTACGGGAAAAAGTAATCATTTGAAGATGAGAATAAACAAATCTATTCTAGAAAGAAAGGCAGAAGGAGAAAAGAAGCAAACCTGGGACTTGCAGGATAAACACATGCAGAATTTGTGCCTGAAAATCACAAGAAATACAAAACAAAAAGAAAAGATAAATTAGTTTCCCATAAAAGGGGTTGTACAATTCTCCAAGGTCTCGTGTTAGACTCCCACGGTCGCAAAAACATTTGGGGGGCGTAACTGAGATTTGCAGGTGACTGGGTGTATTCGAAATTAATCATAAGATTTGATATATATATATATATATGAGATTATTAGGACTTACTATTGAGAGTTTGGCTAGTGGTGGCAGTGCCTGCAAAATCACAGGTCCCAACAGCTTGACCTTTCCTCTGAAAGTAGCTGTTGACAGCATAGTTGCAATGATCTTTCACAGTGTTGGGATTGTAACAAGCACCATTTTGAATGATTGGAGTGCAGTCAGCTCCAGCTCCACAAGCATAATCTATGTCCTTCTGAAGGACTGCGTCACCCAGTCCGTCTTTACATATGCAGTAAGCAGCACCTACAAAAGGAAAAAAAATTCCAAACAAATAATCAATGATCAGCTCATTTAAATCCAAGTCTTCCTTGAATTCAAAAAGGGTATGTTAAAAAAGGAAATTAAATAAAGGGTTTATTGCTTTGAAAGATTTCATTTGATAGAGTTAACATTTAAAGCAGAAAATGAAATGAAAGGAAAAGATCGAACACTCACTGAAGAAAAAGACTGAAAATTTGAACATTTTCCATTACATTTATTTTTGCAGTACTACCGGATACAGAGAGAGTAACAGGGGGAAAAAAGGGGGAAACTGCTTTCATTGAAAACCCAAATCAAACAAAGACAAGAAATAGATTAAGAATAAAGGGCTTATTGCTTTTAGATATTTCATTTTGCTTCTAGATATTTCATTTAGTAGAGAAACAACTAGACCAGGAAATGAAACCAAAAGAAACGAAAGATCAAACACCTACTAAAAAAAAGACTAAAAAATTGAAAAAAAAATCAACACATTTATTTTTGCAGCACTGTAACAGGAGACAAATTAGGGGGAAATATGATGAATTTTTTTTATTGAGAACCCAAATCAAACACACGAGATATGATAAGAACAAGCCAATTACAACTAAGGTTGATTAAAAATAGAAGACGAAATCTAAGAAATTAAACACACTGATCAAGAGACATACTTGAATCATGGCCAAGGAAAGCAATAAATAAAAGACTAAACACTAGAAAAAAAAAACTTCCATTACATTTATTTTTGCAGTAAATATGATGAAAAATTATCATTAAGAACCCAAATCAAACACACGAGATGTGATGAGAACAAGCCAATAACAACCGAGGTTGATTAAAAACAGAAGAGGAAATCAAAGAAATTATATACGCTGATCAAGAAACTTATTACTTGAATGATCAGTCATAGCCAAGAAAAGCACTAAATAAAAAGTCCAAAAATTTTCTGTTACATTTATTTTTGCAGTACCACCAGATTCAGAGAGAGCAACAGGAGACAAAATAGTGAGAAATATGACGAAATTTTTTCTTTAAAAACCCAAATCAAACACAAGAGATGTGATCAGAACAAGCCAATTACAACCGAGATTGATTAAAAATAGAAGAGAAAGTCTAAGAAATTAAACACAGTAATCAAGAAACTTTACTTGAATGGCCCAAGAAAATCACTAAATAAAAAGACTAAAAAAATTGAAAATTTTCCATTACATTTATTTTTGCAGAACTACAGGGGACAAAATAGGGAGAAATATGATGAAAAATTTTCATTGAAAACTCAAATAAAAAACACATGAGAAAGGTTGATTAAAAATAGAAGAGGAAATCTAAGAAAATAAAGTGATCAAGAAACTTACTTGAATGACTAGTCATGGCCAAGAAAAGCACTAAATACACTGGAATAACAACCATGGTTGTTGCAAGATTGGTTAAGGGGAAAATATGAGAAACTATAAAGGGCTTGAAGAGGGTTGATTCAGCTTGAAATCAAAGATGGGTTAGAGAGACAGAGGGGGAGAGAGAGAGAGAGAGGCAGAGCTGTGTCCGGGGATGGAGACTTCCAGACAATAAAATATGAGAGTGGCAGTCGGTAGCAATGGAGGGTGGCGTGTCTATTCCTGATTTTTTATCTATTATTCTTTGCATGAATTTTTTTAAATTGCTTTATTATTTGATTTGACACAAAAAATTGAAAAATAGAGTGAATATCAAAAAGGTAAACAAATAAATCAAAAATAATTCTATAGTGATGGAAATATAAATGATATATGTATTAGATTATAAGTCTTGTAATTTTTTATTATTATTTATTTAATTATTCAATAAATATAAGTAAGACTCATTGATATTGTTTTATGCAAATTATCTGAGTTATTTATATATAAAAAAAAATTACTGTGAGAATTTGCACTATTTATAATTTATTAGATAAAAATAATTTTAAAAAAAAAATTTTAAAAATTAATTATCTAAAAGTAATTAATCAAAATTAAAATTTTGTCTCACACTCTTTCCTTCCATTTTCAAAACACTTTTTTCTTTCAATTATTCTATATTTTTTTCAATATAATTTTCTTCAAAAGGCTAGTTTTCCATCAATCAATTATCTATTGACTAGCAATTAACTAGCAAAATCTAATTTCCATCTAGTCTAGTAGATTTTAAAAATCTAATATATATAAGAAAAAAAATTAAAAATTCACTAAAAATAAAAATAATGAATTTTTTAAGGGTAAAATATCAATAAATCCTAAAATGTAATCTTGTAAACTGTTTAATCCATTATTTTTTCTTATGAACTCAAAAGTTTCATTAAAATAAAAATTACACAAAAGGATAGTGTTGGCACCATAAATCTGTAATTTTTATTATTATTTATTATTTATATAATTGCAGGACATGTGACATCCTCCTATTCATTTGAAGGTTATGAGAAATTATAAAATATGAAAAGATGATAGAGAATGAAGTGGAGAACATGGAGCATTAATTGGAGGTTAAAGGAAATTATGAAAACATGGAGGAATATGTGGCATTATGGGAATGAAGATGGAAAAGTTGGTAGTTTTAGGTGGTTATTGGGTAGTTATTGCTGAAGTTTTTTCTTACAAATATTTGTCTATAAATAGCCATTCATGGTTACATTGAAAAGGATCCAGAACTCAAATCAAAGACACTTGATTTCAATATTTCTTGTCATTTTCCTTATCTTATGATTAGTTTAACATAGATTTATATTTCGAAGCATTTATTTTCAGCATTTTCTTTTCAAAGCATTTTATGCACTTCCTTTTCAAAGCATAGGAGTAGAGATAAGTAATTATTACTTTGATTGTTCACTCAATCGCCTTTTTTCGTCTCCCTCATTCTTCTTTTAAATTTTCTTTTCTCTATACTTAGCAATTTTGAAGTCCTCTTTGTTGAGGCAAAAGAACCGTCAATGCAATCGTTTGATAATTGGCTTGAATTTAATCTGTAAGGATTTTTCAATTCTTGCTGGCACACTCGCATTTATGGTATTTTCCTTCGTAGGAAAAATAAGCCAACAATTTTTGGCACGCCCAGTGGGACGTCAAGTATAAAAAATGAAAAATGAATTGGATTTGTCAATTTCAAATAGCCTAGATAAAATCTATTGGCGTAAACAAAAAATTTTGGATCTTCAATAAGAGATCAATTTTCTTGATGAAATAAACTTTCATCCCTTACAATATTATTTAGTGGAAGAAAAAAGACACCATTTAATTGGAGAAATTCATCAACTTGATATGGAAATTCGCCAATGGAATGATGAGTTATCAACTCTCATTACCAAGTCTTTAACTGAGACTTTAATAGCCGGAATTGGTGAATTTTTTCAGAATTTTTCCATGGTTGAAAATAGCAAAAACAAAGAGTTGATTTCATCAATGACTCGGGGGGTTCAAGAGCCCGTTTTTAAAGAGCCAAATTATGAAATTAACACAACGAAAGAGCATGTTCTTGAACCAAATTTGACTAAGAATGATGTTCCATGTATGACTCGGAGGGTCCAAAAACTAAATTTTAGAGAGTCAAGTCATGAAAATAACATATTTATGGGTGATTTTCATAAGCCATTAATGGCTAACATGGAAAAACAACCCACTTTGCTAAATAATTATGAAAATCAATTCAGCGAAAGTCATGTTTTTAAACCAAACATGGTCAAGAAGAATGAACAAGTCACTGTTCATGAATTCAAAATTTTTGTCATTTTTCAAAATGTCAAGAAGTATGAATTTTCATGGTTACACTATACCATAATTTTTGTTGTTCAAAATCCATTTTGGATTTGTGGATCACATCAAATGTTGACTTTGATGGAATAGTTAACAAATAACATTTTGTTATTGCAATATATTGGGCCAAAAATATGGTTATTAGTTGATTCGTAAAACTATCACCATTTGGTTTTGCGGTTACCTTCGAAGCATGTCCCAAGACACTTCGAAGCATGTTATTAAGAACATGTGAGGGTTGTTAATCCAACTCTTTGGATTTGGTTCGAAGGGATGTCGTGAGCACTCTCTAAGGACAACTTTGATCCGTTAGTAACATACGTGACTTTCAAATGGTGGTTTTATCATCAATAAACACCTTCGAAATGTAACATGAAACGAGAAGGCTTTCGAAATGTGTACCTCCCTTGAAATATATGTAGAATGGCAATCAATTAAATGTCAAATAATGCATATTTTGGCATGATAATTAGTGGCTTTACTGATAAACATTTTTATAGCTATTTGTTACATGAAAATGTAACTAGTATTCTACAAAAATTGGTTCGAAGAGCAACGGTTTTGATGTCTTCAGAGAATTAATAATTGGTTCGAAACATAAAATTAATATTTTCATTAATTATTTGTGGACCAGAACATACAAAATTTGGATAACCACAATATTGGCCAAAAGTTGCTTCGAAAGCCCTTTTACCATAATTTTTTAAGCTTCAAAGCACTATGTTTTGCATCAGCAACAGCTTCGAAGAAATAATATTGGTGGTTGTGAACCTTCAATGTTGGCCAAAAGTTGCTTCGAAAGCCCTTTTTGCCATAATTTTGTAAGCATCGAAACACTCCATCTTGCATCAACAACAGTTTTGAAGAAAAAATAGTGATGGTTGTGAACCTTCGATACTTTGCCGAGTATTTCCAAAGATGTAATTCATCCTTTGTCGGCACTTTTGACCTTCGAAGGATGGTTTTGGTCATCTATACCACCTTCGAAGTTGGTTATTTAGCATGTGTAACAGTTTGCTAAGATGAATCATTGGCTTTGCCTTGAAAATATTTAGTTATTCTTCGAAGCTTTTCTGCAATAATATCCCTTCAATGTGTATATATATAATTCGCAACATCTAGTCATAATTTCATACTCATTCGAAGCACTTTATTGGTGCTATTATATCATTCGAAGCACTTTATTGACATTATTCGAAGCACTTTATTGCTTAGATTAGTCATGTGCTTGGTTCGACCCTTCAAAAATTTAAGTAAACATTATTTTTAAGGGCCGCGGAGGGTAATGTTGACACCATAAATATGCAATTTTTATTATTATTTATTATTTATATAATTGTAGGACATGTGGCATCCTCTTATTCATTTGGAGGTTATGAGAAGTTATGAAATGTGAAAAGATGATGGAGAATGAAGTGGAGAACATGGAACATTAATTGGAGGTTAAAGGAAGTTATGAAGACATGGAGGAATATGTGGTATTGTGGGAATGAAGATGGAAAAGTGGGTAGTTTTAGGTGGTTATTGGGTAGTTATTGCTGAAATTTTTTCTTACAAATATTTGTCTATAAATAGCCATTCATGGTTACATTGAAAAGGATCCAGAACTCAAATCAAAGACACTTGATTTCAATATTTCTTGTCATTTTCCTTATCTTAGGATTAGTTTAACATAGATTTATATTTCGAAACATTTATTTTCAATATTTTATTTTTAAAGTATTTTATGCACTTCCTTTTCGAAGTATAGGAGTAGAGATAAGTAATTATTACTTTGATTGTTCACTCAATTGTCTTTCTTCGTCTCCCTTATTCTTCATTTAAATTTTCTTTTCTCTACACTTGGCAATTTTGAAGTCCTCTTTGTTGAGGCAAAAGAACCATCAACGCAATCGTTTGATAATTGGCTTGAATTTAATCTGTAAGGATTTTTCAATCATTCCTGGCACGCTCGTATTTATGGTATTTTCTTTTGTAGGAAAAATAAGCCAACAGATAGTCACTTACACGTTTATGTTTAATTTTTGAGGAATAAAAGTGGATTTCTCCAAATGTGAAATTATACATTTGGGCAATCTGCACTATAGAGATTTTGAATTTTCTCTCCTCTTTGAACAAATCTCACATTACGAACAAAAACGTAACATTCTAATGTAACACACTATAAAACTCTTTAGTGCACTTTACAAACGTAATAATACAACACTCTAAAAAAACTCCTTAGTATACTTTTTTCAAACGTAACAATCTAATTAATGTAATCCCAAACTTAACATTCCAATTAATGTAATCCCAAACGTAACAATCCAATGATGTAACAATCTAATGTAAAACACACAAAAACACTCAAAAATTTATTAATATACTTTTTTCAAATGTAACACTTACAGTTTAAAATTATACATTTATCCAAAATTTACTAAGTAATTTTTGTACTTCTTTTGGAATAATTTGAAGAATCCCACACCATTTTGGAATGTTTTGAAGAATCCCACATTTATTTTTTAGAGTGTTATATTGAAGTATTACATTTTAAAAAAGTATATTAAGGAGTTTTTTTATATGTTATAACAGAGTGTTATACTAAAAAGTTATATTAGAATGTTATGTTTAAAAAAAATACATTAAAGAATTTTTTTGGAATGTTACATTGGAGTATTATGTGTGAGTGTTACATTGGAGTGTTACAATTTGAAATTATACATTTGTCCCAAATTTACTAAGAAATTTTTATACCCCTTTTGAAATATTTGAAGAATCCTATATCCTTTTAAAATTTTTGAAGAATTTCATATTTTAAGTAATTTTTGTATTTCTTTTGAAATGTTTA